ACACGGGGTCCCAGATTTTGCCCTTTAAAAGCCCTTTTTTTTTTCACCCCCACGGAGAGGGAGGAAATTTCTTCGTTCTCCCGGTTAGCGCGGTGGATGTGGTTTCAAGCACACACACACACACACACACCCACAGGGGGGTCCCAGATCACGCCCATTACAAGCATTTCCTGGGAACAGTCGCCCCTGAGACGGGGGTTTTTTCTTTCCCCGGTGGAGGTTTAAACAACAAAACCCCCCCCAACCCACTTCCCCTTTTAACCCATCCCTTGTTAACCAAGAAACCCCCCCCCCCCCCCCTATCCCACACCTTCTCTGTCCCAGCCCCCCCGGCCGGCGCGCTCTCTCAACCCGTGGGCGGCCTTCTTGGCCATCGCCTTTGCCGAGGCGTGCTTGGCGGTTACTCCGGCGCCGGCCGCCAGCAAGCTGTCGCACTCTGCGGGCGTGAAGACCCCGTTCGACCCCCAAAGGCGGACGATGCGCTCAACCTGTCCGGTCGATGAATTTGTTGTTGGTGACGGTGGGGGGTGTACTCATGATGGCGTAGTCGTTAGGCCATTGACCTCGAGGTGTCGGAGGGGTATGCCGGGGTGTTGGGGTACGGGGATTGGTGCAACGGGGGGGTGCTATTGGAGCCGCCCGCTTGGTCGGGGGCAGGTGCGGGGCGGGTTGACGCGAGGATCAGGTAAAAGGCGGGTGGGCCGCTCTATTAGTGGCCGTTGCTAACTAGGTGTTACACTTGGCAACATTTCGGACATGGGGGCGTTCGCGTTGAGGTCTTCAGGTCACAGCCGGAAAGCTAGACAGTGAGTTCAAGGGAAACACAGTCCAACATAGCAAAAAACCGAACCAAAACCAAGTCACACCAGCACGAACCTCTACCATAACAGCAGCAAGCACGCACGGCACTGTAACGATAGACGTTGGCTGCCCATCCTGCTTGACATCAAGAGAGGCGTAATTACGCCAACCAGCCAAAACAAAAAAAAGAAACATTTGGATTCTTGCGGACAAGAGCCATACAGTAGTCATGACTTCGAGGTATCTTTCCCAGAAACAAACAGAAATAAATAAGAGAGACTGTGCCCTGGCCGGGGCTTTGCCTCGAGTCCTGTGTCTTTGCTAGCCCAAGAGTTTGGGGTAAAGGTCGAGATAGGGGGTAGGATAGACAAAAACGATCCCGGGATGGTTCCCTGGCCTGCGTGTCTCACCTTGTCAAGGCTCCCTCCTGTCAGCTCTGGGTCCAGCGTGCAAGCAGACCGAAGGACGCCGGGCACCTGACGCAGACATCTGTTGCGCCCGGGGGGGAGGTGGGGGAGGGGGGGCAGTTGACACAAGTGCGAGAACACGACGACATGCAGCATGCATAATTTGGAACAGGAATCAGTAAGGTTCAGAATCACGATGAAGACTGAGGCAATGAGCTACGCCTCTCCACCTGAGGCGACCCACAGGAAATACGGTTCTTGCAAGGCAAGGTATGAACAAACCAACCAAACGGGTTTTGACATTCCGATCTGTTTCATGTACTGTCTTTCCAGCACACA